ACCCCAGGGCTGGACTCTGGCCTTCTTCTTCCTTGTCCACCTATTTCTGTGCCCTGGTCCCGGGGAAGCAGACACCACCCGTCTCAGATCAAGAATCTTGACTGGAATGGCCCGGGTCCATTCGCAGAGCCTGTGAGGCAGGAATTCATTTGTTCCATCAGGAGTTGGTGAGGCATGAGCTGCCAGGCTGTGCTGGTGAGGGAAAGCGCCCTGAAAATGGCAGTTCTGAGCCTCCAAAACTTCCTACAACTCAGCCTCGCAGCAGGCAGCAGGGAGTCGGGCTAAAGACTTTCGGTTCTCAGTCCTATGCGATGGCTTCCTAAATGAAAGGCTAGTGTTAGGGGATTGGAGTGGGAAATCTGAGCTGGATTGGAGTGGGAAGTGCGGACTTCAGCAAAAGCAGGATCACAGTGAGCGGTCTAAGAAGCCAGTGGAAGCAGCAGATCACACCACAAGGTTGCCACTGTAGAGATCCCGTGTCACCGAGCCGTAACAGGCAGCCACACCCTTTTGACTGAACGGCTGCCTCAGTGCTAAGAAATCATGGAAACAACTTGACGGTGAGAGACATCAGGGTTTGCTTGCCAATTTGACTTCTCTGTGGTGAGGCTTTCTTTCTCAAGCTATTTGAAACATAGAATAATGACTATCAGGTTCAGAAAACATTCAGACAAGAGTGCAGTCATGGAGAGGGCCTGGGACTCTGAGTGAAGCCTCTTCAGGGAGGGTCCCACCACAGGGTCTGAGTGGAACACGCGTGAATAACGTTGCCTTTGAGAGCAAACAGCTCTTCGAGGGCAAGAGGCCGCAAACAGTGTCCTTGCCAAATCTCCAGGACTTTTCCAGCTGGGAGAGGGGGAAAGTTCTAGGTGGGCAGTGAGATTAAAAGACCCCCATTGTGAGCCAGGCAGTGGTGGCACAAGCCTTTAGTCCCAGACGCGGGCAAATCTCTGAGTTTGAGGCCAGCCTGGTCTACAGAGCGTGTACCATGGTAGCCATTGTTACAAGAAAAACCCTGTCTTGAAAAACAAAAACTCTTCTCTTCTTCGTCCTCCTCTTCATCCTCCTCCTCCAGTAATATATACCCTTAAAACCAGCAATTTCCCAGCCCTCTCAGGTTCCAGGGCTGGAATTCTTGTCTCCCATAAAAAAAATCAGATAAGAGTTTACACACACACACAGAGACAGAGACAGACAGACAGACAGACACACACACACACACACAGAGAGAGAGAGAGAGAGAGAGAGAGAGAGAGAGAGAGAGAGGAGAGGAGAGGAGAGGAGAGAGAGAGAGAGAGAGAGAGAGAGAGAGATCCCTAGCTGTCAGCTCAAAGATGGTAGTGACTTAGTGAACTCTGGTTCACTGGCACATCTGGTGAACTCCTTAATGGAGAAAGTTAGTTAAGAAAGGAATTAAATAATCAGGAAATTCTAGAGGGGAAGACTAGTATACTACACTATATTTTTAGGTAGTTAGGTAATGAGCTAAAAGGTTTATTTTCAATAAAATTATGAATAGGGCACGGATTGTTTTTTAAATCAGTATGCTGTTTGTGTTTTCTCCCAGCATGCATAGAGGATATTGGGTAACCAGGCAACCTACGTAAACAGTCGGGGGGAAGCTAATGGCTCTTGATAGCACATTCACCAGACACTACAATTTCTACGGGCCTAGGTCTGGAGTTTGCACTTATTGCTCTAAGCAGTAGAAACAAAGAGGAGACTCAGGTCTCTAAATTATCAGTTCTGGGGTATGCTCTCATCAGCCGTTCTGATTGTGGGTGTGTGGGTCTGTGGCGCCACCAGGAAGTCTTTCTCTGGGTTGTGGTTAATAATCTCTTCTGCTGTTCTTGAGAGTAAAACACAAGCAGTAAATTTCCTGAACTAAAATCATCAATAAACTGAGGTGAAGGTGAGGAGTTAGGAATCTTTTAAGTGAGGTAAAACCAGGGCATCTTATTCTTCTATCTGAGCAGCCATGAATCAGCAGCTTCGGGTAGGTAGTAATTCTGTGTCCTTGGATAGCTGTGAATATCTTAAATGGAATGCTCTTGCCTGGACCCTAAACGCTGGCCAAATGCCTGTTGGCTGCAGGAAGACAGATCTCTGCATTCGTCTAGGAGAGAGGAACGCAGGCCTGGCAGTGGGAAACATTTCACACTTGCTAGGGAAATGTGATCAGTAAACCCCCAAAGCATAGGAAAGTTCTGAACTGTGGAAATTAATTCCCAAATATGTAACAGAAAGGGAGTCAGTATTGTGAAAATCTACAGCAAAAGACAACCACTTTATTTGCAAAGCAATAACACCGAAAACTCCTTGAATTTTGGTTTAACCTTCACCAAAGCCCCTGGCTCTGAGGAGCTGCTGATGAAAATATGGCTGAGTAACTGCTGTAAAATGTTCTCTGGAGTCACAAGACACCCATCGTGCAGCGCAGCATGGCTCCTTTACCCACTCCTCCGTTGTTGGGGACCTGGGCTGGTTCCACCCTAGGCAGTGTGAATATGCTGCAATAATCAGTGCTGTTCGAGGATCACAGCCTTGTGACATGTTGGACTTTGGCCCTTCAGGAAAGTACCCAGGAGCGGTACAGCTGGGTTTGTGGACTTGAGTCCTTCAGGAAAGTACCCAGGAGCGGTATAGCTGGATCATATCATAGATCTATTTCACTTCTTTTGCATTTCTAAACTTTTTTAGACTTTCCTAATGAGCACACTGTATTTATCTCATCTCCACCCCCTTCCCCTTCTAACTCCTCCTGTGTTCCTCCCCTCCTCCTCCTTGAATCCATGGTCCCTTCTTCTATAATTGTTATATACACACCCTAACGAGTCTGATTAGTTCTGTTTGTATGTACACGTCTTTAGGGCTGACCCCTTGTGACTGAATAATCCTAGAGAAGTCTGATTCTCCCTCTCTTAGTAGCCATTGACCACGTGTGGTTCTTCAGCAGGGGGAAGGCCTTGTGAATTTCTCCCTCATCCAGGCTGGTATGTCAGCTGCTGTTGTCCATGCATGTCTTGCGTAGGTAGCCATTGGTGCAGCATCTCCTGCCTTGCAGTAGCCCCTTGGCCCTCTAACTCTTACACTGTTCCTGCTCTCTCTTCCGTGATGTTCTCCAAGCCTTAAGTGCAGGGGTTAAGTGCAGCTAACCCAGCGGGGGCTGGGCACCTCACGGTCACCTTATCTGCACTTTGACCAGTTGTGAATCTATTTAGTAGCCTCTGTCTGCTCTCCACAAGAAGGTTCTTTGATGAGGAGTGAGGGCTACACCTGAGAAAGTGTGGGATACAGCAGCTTCTGGGTGTGGAGAGGAGGTGCAGGGCAAGGGCCCCAGACAGACTGGCCGATCTGTTCCTACTGTTTTGGGTCTTCGCAGTGTTTTCACAGTGACTGGACAGTCATTCCCACCAGCAGTGTATCAAGGTTTCCTTCCACCCATGTCCTCGCTGGCACTTGTTATTTGTCTAAGGGATAGTCTGTTCCACATTTGGTTGAGTCTGTGGAGGGGGATCATGGGAAGCTCTGTGAGCTAGCCTAGGCCCATCTCATCTGCCCCACATTTAAGAGAAAAGGGTGAGCTCTGCTTTCAGTGCCCTCCTGCTGAGGCTTATTAGTAGTTTTCTCTCCTGCAGCAGTACTTTTCAGGGAGTGGTTGTCATGGTACAATGTAAACTCTTGAGGCTATGTGTGTGGCTGGGCTCTCTGTACTGACTCTGGGACATTCTAGTAATGACCGTGAAGGACACAGAATCCTTCTCACAGACCATCCCTGAAGTAGGGCCATACCATGTAGAAACATTCAGTGTGTCCCCAGAGGGGGCAGCTTCTGAGGTGGCCATGCCATCCAACTGTATCCACTTAACCAGCTACGGACTGTGTCATTGGTTTTGACTATTTGCAGAATAAATATCAGCGAATTACCAAAGACTTGTGCTTGAAAGTCTTGGACAAAGGCCCCTATGACCTTTTCTGTATAAAACTGGCCTTTGTGGTCTGCCACTGTTGTAGCAAGGTGGGGATCCACTCTCACAATACTCTCTGCAGCAGCTCCTGGGCCTGGTATTGCTGGCTCTCATGGTTCCACTGTCCCTTTCCACAGTTCCAGGACAGCCATGGCTGTTACACAGAGAAACCCTGTCTCAAAAAACCAGAAAACAAAACAAAGATCCCAAGCCTTCAGAATAGGCAAGGAGAAAAGGAGAAGCCAAGTTCTAAGTTAAGTGGCCATGACCACTACAGCAAAGCTTCCAAACACAAGTGGTCCCATCCAATAGCTCTCTGCCACTCTGGCCACTCTTGCTTCTTGGGTAGACTTATGAGAACCTGGTTCCAGACACTGTGCTTCTCCATGATTGTCTCCTGTGTGTATTCAACTTCTTACCCGTCAGGATGCTAAACCACACAGTTGTGGAGCCCTCCTTCCTCTCAGAAGGTACTGGAAAGTTATTCTGCAGCTGCCTGCTGGTGTCTTGTCTTACTGCTGACCTGGTTTCCAGTTCAGTTTTGGGTATGAACTTGTTGGGTTTCAAGTCCAGTTTCTAAATGCTAGATAAGGGTGTCTTCTGTCTCTGTATCTGGCCTGTGGTGGTTTGAAAGAAAATGGTCCCAGAGGGAAAGGCACTATTAGGGAGTATGGCCTTGTTGAAGGAAGTGGGTCACTGTGGAGGCCACCTTTGAGGTCTCATATATGTTCAATCCACACCCAGTGACTCAGTTCACTTCCTGTTGCCTGTACAAGATGCCTCTCCAGCACCATGTCTGCCTGCATGCTGCCATGTCCCTCCATGATGATAATGAACCAAACCTCAGAACTGTAAGCCACCCAATTAAATGTTTTCCTTTCTAAGAGCCGACTTGGACATGGTGTTTCTTCACATCAATAGCAATCAATTCTAAGACATGGCCCAAGTGTAGCAGCACGTACCATATGTTCGGATCCCAGGAAATGTTTGCTGAATAAAGATTATAAGAAAAACAACAAACAACATTTAAGCTTCTCAAAACAGTTTTTAATTTTTGCTTATTCCCATCCAGACCAAAGCTGTTACAAGCAGGTGTGAAGATTCCCTCCCACGGGGCCTAAGAGACTTTGAATGGCACCAGCCTTTCTGTCTCTTCTTCCCATGTATGTTCCAGAGGCTTCCTTGTCTTTGCACTCATGCCTCCTGTGACTTGTGACCCTTGAGCAGCAGGATGATGTGGGGACCCGGGGCAGTGGCAAGATCCATACTGCCGCAAACATTGCAGGTACCATATTAGAAAAGGGCAATTCAACAAGAGGCTTTGCAGCCGGGGGTGGTGGCATATACCTTCCATCCCAGACAGATCTCTGAGTTCGAGGCCAACCTGGTCTACAGGGCAAGTTCAGGACAGTCAGAGCCACACAGAGAAACTCTGTCTCAAACAAACAAACAAACAAACAAACAAACAAACAAAAATTTCAAAGTCTTCATTGGTAGCGACACAAAAAAAATGTCCTGTCTTCCTTGCTTTCAGTTGAGCAGGCCTGAACTCTATTGCTTAATATTAAATACTTGTATTGCTATATTCCTCTCTGAATTTTTAAGTAGATTCAATGTTTATTGTAATGATAATTGCTTTACTTTTTCATTGTCAAATTCTTTGAAACCTTTTATTTTTGTGTGTCTGTGTAGCTGGTGTGTGTGTGTGTGTGTTGGTTTTGGCTCGTGGTTTATCACAGCAACAGCGACCAACTAGGACTTGTCTGCGAATTTAAATCAGATTAACTGAGGTGAGCAGTCCCACTCGGAATGTGGGGGAACCATTCTGGGGTCCTGGACTCCATCAAAAGGAGAAAGCCACCGAACACAAGCATCCGCTACTGTTTCCTGAACGCAGAGGCAGTGTGAGCAACTGTGAGCTCTGGCTGCCACGGCCTCCTGGTTATGACGGGTTTACCCTTACTGTTAGCCAGAAACCTTCCTTTCCTGGGGAACTTTTGTCACAGCAACAAGACAAGTTACTAACATGGTGTGCACGGGAACATCAGGATGCCCCTCAAATTTACCCTCTGTGAAGTGAGAGGTAGGAAGCTCTCCAGCTATTATTAATGTATTTATAGGGTCAAGTCAGGGGAGGGTGGATCACCTTTCACCCTTCCACTTTCAGCATAAGTTTTGACTTGATGTTTTTCCTACTTTATGTGTTGAGTATTCTGGCCTGCATGCGTGTTTGTGCACCACATACACATGGTACTTGCTGAGTCAGGAAAGGGCTTCAGGTCAGGGGGAACTGAAGTTACAGATGGTTGTGAGCCTCCATGGGCAGGGGCTGAGAACTGAACTCTGGTCCTCTGGAAGGGCAGCCAAGTGCTCCTAATTGCTAAGCCACCCCTCCAGCCCTGACTCTTGGCTTTAATGCAGAAGGAATAAAACAAAAAGGTTATAAAACCAACTAGCACCCTGTGTACAAGCTCTAGAGTACTGTCCATCCCTGGTCAGGGAGAAAGGGCTTCCTCCCCAGCCTTGAGGAGATCTGTTTTTGGTAGGGAAGCCAGCTGAGAAGCCTCTTAATTTGATTTTGGCAATGGAGACAAAGTAATGTGCACACACTCACCTCACTGAACTACAAACTGACAAAGATAAGAGAATAAAAAGCCCCCTGCTTATGCCATAGACCTTACTAAGCAGTTTCAGGATGGTCCAGAAACTCAGGTAGCAGCTAGCTTTCCTTCATTGCTTTCTCGGGGTGCAGCAACTTGGCATGCCCTCCGTCTGATTCCACCCTCAGCCCTTGGGAATAGACAGCACTAAAGTAGTCACTAGGCAAAGCATTCTGTACTGCAAACTTCCTTAGAGTTCATATAGAAAAGCAAAACTAAGGAGGAAGTAATCCACCTTCATCCACTAAGCATCAGTGTAGACAAAACCAAGTCAGCTCACGCTATGCTGGGTGGATAGAGCCTGTGGCTGCACACACAGCGAGCCCCACCCACACCCGCAACAGGGAACACCATCAGACGGTGGTTATTTTCTTATCCTTGGTGGCTTGCTTGATGGCAGCCTGCTCACAGATGATCTCCTTGAGCCTCTGCAGCCTGGTGTTCTGGACGGTCTGGTCCCCGACGCCGGTCTGGCTGCGGTGCAGCAGGGTCAGGGCATGGATGTACTCCAGCTCTGTGTACTTCACGCCCTGGTCCACCACCAGGTTCAGGAGCTCATCTGCTGTGTTGTACAGCATCTCGTAGTACTGCCTGGGGAAGCAAGACAGAGCCTGGTTGAGTGTTTCCTCTATCAGCATGGTGGCTGGGGACATGCACATGCTGGTAATTGTATGCTAATATGTTTGCTTAGTTCACCAACAACTACTGATTACCTGGAGGGCAAGTTCTGCCCCACTCAACCTCTCCGTCACTCACTCACTCAATTATTATTGGAGACTCTGGGAAACAAAGATAACTTTCTTCCCCACTGAAATGGGATGAAATGCTGCCTACTTCTTCAGGTTTCATATAAAGCACTTAGAATATGGTGTTCCATGAAGATGAACTCTTAAAACAACAATAGGAACACAGTAACAGTAAGGGACAGAAGAGGCTTCCAAGCACGTGGGTCACCTCCTTCCTGCCATGAAGCTTTACTAAGGTGGAGGGGCTAGAAGCGAGCAGCGTGTGCCAAGGAGATGTGGGCAGTAAAGTCATCAGGACTGCTGACCCAGAAACTTGTGTTCCTGCACTCTGGGCCTTGAGTTTGTTTCTTCTGCATCAAGAATATCTTGGGGAAAGAAAAACCAAACACCAAAGCAAACCAAAACAAAAAACCCTCCAAACCTCCATTTTTATGGGGGAAAGGAAGCCATTCTTGGGTATGGGAATATATTTCAAGAGCTGAGTGCTGTTTCAAAGAGGGAGTGTTCATGAAGGGCTTTGATGTCTACTAGCTTTTCTTTTCCATTGCTATTCCATTAGAACAGGGGAAATGATGCCCTTGAATGGTACCTAGAAGGGGTGAAATGAGCCTGGTTTTTTCAGATGGGCAACTTCATGAGCGTCCTGGGAGCACAGTTTGGTCCTGTTGTGTCCTCTGAAGATTAGTGTTCTGTTGTGGTTTCAAATGAGGACGTATTTCAGCCTCACGAGACCTGCTATTGCATGACTGTGAAATGCTCCTACAGGTTCATATATCTGAACATTGTATCCCAAGCTGCTGGGATTGTTTTCGCAGGCTGTGGAAGGTCTGACTGCAGGAACTAGCTGGCAGATGCAGGACATCAGCGGTGGGTCTATGGGAGTTACAGACCAGCTCTGTGTCTTCCCAACACTCTCTGCTTCATGATCCGTGGAGATACGAAGATGTGGCAGTAGTGAGCTCTCATTGCCCCAGAGTGAAGAGCCATGCCTTGTCCACTAGGACGGACGGCACTCCTTCAGCTGGAAGCACAAATATCACCCTTCCACTTTTAGGATGCTTCTATTGGTATTTGGTCACTACAGAAAAGTAATGGGACACATAACCAGTTATTCAGAAAGCACTGCCTAAGCATATCCTTGGATGTGGACAGAAGTATCTTTTTGAAAGAAGAGGATAAAGTCACTTGGAGGATTCTGGGAAAACAGTAACAATAACCAGGAAACCTTTTGAGGTTGCACGTTTAGCATAAAATCCATGAGCTTTATGTTATAGTCTTCAACATAATTGTTATAGTTAAAAATATTTCAGTAAGTTTCCCTAGCGTGATTCCGTCCTGCGTGTCTGTTCTGAAGAGCAGCAGGCACTACTCTCCACCTGACTTCTCTCCCACCAAAGTGCAGGCCTCCACCTTATGGAAGACTCGATGGACACTGACATGGACACGAGCCCTCTTAGGCCTCAGAACTACCTGTTCAGTTGTGAACTAAAAACTGATCACCATCTTAAGGTGGGGAATGATGAGAATGAGCACTCAGACGATTAGTTCAGGTGCTGGGGCAAAAGACGAATGACACATCGCAGAGGGAGAAGCAATGAACCGTGAAGGCAGTCCAATTAAAGAAACACTGACAACTTAGAAAATGTCTGTACAGCCAGCAGTTTCTCTTGGGAACTCTGAGATGACACCAGCTGTGGTTGAAGTGTGGACGGGGCCTGTGCACACGAGTGGACAGCACCTAGTAGCTGTAGAGGAAGATGCAGTCAGAAGATGAAGAGGAGGAGGACACAAAGGTCTTGAGTTTGTCTAGAAAGTGATCTGCTCCTGGAGGTGGCAACAAGGTTCCACAAAAAGAAGTAAAACTCGAGGATGATGAGGATGATGATGAAGATGATGAGGATGAGAGGAAGAAGAAAAAGAAGAAGACGATGACGATGATGACGAGGATGATGAAGATGACGAGGAAGCTGAAGAAAAAGTTCCAGTGAGGAAATCCGTACAAGATAGCCCAGCCAAAAATGCACATAAATCAAGCCAAAATGGAAAAGACTTAAAAATCATCAACACCAAGATCAATGACTCAAAAACTCCTAAAACACCAAAAAGGACGTAGTTCTGGAGAAGACATTAAGGCAAAAATGCATGCGAGCAGAGAAGAAGCGCATTGAATAGTTCTGGGCACTACTGGTAAATTAAGCCCAAAGATGGGGAAAGAGGAAAAGGAGAAACAACTTAGTCCATACTGAGGACCATCAACAATCCTACTGCAGTCCTGTAGTTTCAGCTCTGTGCCCTTTCCTGATTGGCTGCCCATTCCCCCTTGCAGGCTGGAAGCAATCTCTTGTTTTCCTAAAGCATTTTTCTTCCACTCTTGTGATGCAGAGATCTCTACTGCTTTCTACACTTGTACTTATGCCTCATCTTTGGCCATGTTTTAATACATTTGTATCCTTAGCTGCTCAATAAATTTCTGAATAAACCAACAAAATATTTTAGAGAAAAATTATGCTGTAAGAAGATGTTTCATACTGTCCAACAGCAGCGCATGCTTTGTGGGGCACAGCAGCTTCCTCCCTGACACTTTCCTTATTCTCTGAGTTAAGGACCTATGCTACATAGTTCTGTTTCCCTTAGGTGCACAGGTGTGAGATAAAGCTGTCTGCTTAGGACGCTTCCTGAAAACATCCATTTTAAATATTGCTCAAGAAGAAGACATGTACAAATTTGGAATTACCATATGGACTAAGACCTTAGGGCCCTTTGAAACCTGGACTTTCTAGCCTAGATGCTCCCAGACTTCAGAGTGCTTCACTGGGGACCACCTAGGAGTACAGGAGCCTCACACCCTGGCAGTGGAATTGTCAAAGCCACTCCCACCTCCAAGATGCCCAGCACCTAAGCAGAGGCTGCTATTGAGGCAGTAACTGGTTTATCATACTTCTTGCTGAGATTAAGCCAAAAGAATTGGAGTTCTTTGCATTATGATATTGATATTTTCATCATTTATCTTTAAAAGCAATGCTTTTAACGTCCATCAGCCCAGACAAAATTGAATTTCTTTTGAAAAGTCTGATGGATTGTTTCAGGGAGACTGGTTTTCTACAGAGACTGCCATCCCACCCTGGGAAAAAACAAGACAAAGACACGAAGATCTCTAGGCCTGGATCTTCCAGTGTGATGAGTGACGAAGAGCACCCCACTAAAGTACTTAATGCTTCAATATCCTCTGTGCACTCACGACCTTCATAAACCCCAGAGTGACACTCTGAAGGCAACGGAGAGACTAAAGGAGTTCTTAAGAGTCTCCGATGAACAGTGCACCAGAATTGCAAAGCTGAGTTATTAAACAAAATTGACAGGTAACTGATGGCATATTTTCTATAGTTAGGGGAAAATTCCCCTATAACCATGATGATATATTAGATCATAAAGAAACATAAATATTTAAAGACAGAATGAAATTCATTTATCTTTCAGAACGCTACCTCACCCAGTAGCACAGCCTAATAAATGGGCGGAACAACTGGCACAGATGTGGGAAGGTGCTACATGATGCCCTGAAGAGAAAGTGGGAAAATGCCCCAGACCATGCAATTAAAATGAGCTTCCATGATAAACACTGACAGATTGAAATGAAATCATGTAACCCAACAGTAATAAATAATTGATGGGTACGTATGAGACTTCAGGAAAATAAAAGCATGGTTTTTACCATCAAGCACTAAAACCGTAGCCATAGCTTCCAGGGTACCCTAGCTTCCAGCAGATGGGATTGTATGTGGCTGCCTGGGCTGCATTCGTGAACACGCGTGTGCTGCAGATGTGGCCTAGCTCACAACTCACAGAGGGGGTCGCTTTATGAGAACCCCTTAACATTTAGAGGCCAGCTGCTAGCTGTGGTTTGAATAGCCTATTCTCAGGACCAAAGGAGTATGGCGTCATCCTGGTGATGACTGGAATTCTGTGATCAAGTCTGTGCCTTCCGATAGTTCCTCTTGCCCTTTGCTGTGTGCCTTTTGGTAGCACCTCCCAGTGTCATGAGCAGACATGGCGTATGAATGACTTTTCTGATGCTGGGCTGTACTGACCCAGAGGGGTACGTGAAGGAAGACTATTTTTGCACACAGTTCTGCCGTGGAGCCGCACAACATTTCAGTGCATGCAGTCAGGCATGTGTGCACATACAAACTGCTTGAGCCTTCACTGTTAGGGTTAGGACCCTTTTGACTGCCCTTTACACGCCCCTTGCACGTTTCACACACAAGGTTCAGGAAGAGTTTCAGTCCACCCCTGTCCACTTCCCACTCTGGCATCCTCAGCTCATGTCTCTCGTGTCCTGAGCTTACTGCAAATAGTTATGGGTTTCCTGTAGGTAAACCGGGGGGAAGAATGCCCTCCCTCAGGCCATCTCTTATAGCCACAGACATTTTTCCTGTGCCTATAGCCTCTCACAGCAGGTGTGTGTGCAGGTGACAGACAGCAGGGCCCTGCTGGGGGCTGACCTAAATCCCCGGGTATACTTTTACCATCTGCCTTTTTTTTAACTTAGTAAAATCCAGAGTACAAGATTCATTTCTAAATGTCTCTAAGTTACTCTGGACATCTGGGGGCATTAGTGCCAGTATCCCCAGGTCAAATTCTCTATATAACATAAATAACATAATATTATATGTGTTATAGAATAACATTGTATTATTAAAAATATATATCAAATAAAATTATATTATATAATATATAACATAAATAACATAATATTTGCATAAAACTTATACAGTCTTCCTGTACATTTTAATATTTTGAGACACAGTCTCACTATGTAGCCCTGGAAGGTCTGGAACACACTAT